CTCTCCTTCTCCCCACTTGTTTGCTGGCACACAGCTCCTAAAACACTTAGAATCTCCAAAACCATAAGTCTCTGTTTGTGTGCACGTAAGATGATTGGTATCAGGGTCTCCTGGATAGCCTCAGGAAGGTGCTGGTTACCCCTCCTATGTGATTAGAGGGTTAGAATTTTTAGCCCCATCCCCTACCTCCAGGGGTGGGAGTGGGATTGAATATTGACATAATCCCCAATGGTCAGTTAGTTAATCAATTATGACTCTATAGTGAAGCTTCCATCACACACACCCACATGCACGTGCGCGCGCTCACACACACATACACATACACATACACACACACACACACACACACACACAAACACAGACGAGAAAGAGGTTTGAAAAGCTTACAAGTTTCTGAAGACATGAAGGTGCTGGGAGGGTGGCATGGCTGGTGAGAACACAGAAGCTCTGCACCCCTTCTCACGTAACTTGCACTATGTACCTCTTCATCTCACTGTTTACCTGTGTGCTTGTAATCTCATTTATAGTAAACTGTTAAACATAAATGTTTTCCTAAGTTCTTTTAGCTGTTCTGGAAAATCATCAAACAAGAGGGTTATGGGAACCTCCTGTTTGTAACCAAGTCAGAAAGAAGTTTTGGTTCTTTTGGAAGCCTACCGCTTTCAATTGGTATCTGAAGTGGGAGCCAGCCCTGTGGGCCTGAGCCCTTATCCTTTGAGGTCTGCACTAACTCTGATTAGTACCAGAATCCAATGGAATTGTATGATGTGCAGCTGGCATTGGAGAATTTTCAATATGGGACAAAAATTCCACACATCTAGTGTGTCAGAAGGAAGTGTTCTGGAAGTATGAAATTTTGTCTTAATAAAAATGTTTTCTCTATTTCTATGTAAGTAATTACTGATTACAATAGGGTTTAAGTCTATTATCTTATTATGTTTTTAATCTAATTGCTCATCTATTTTTGTTTCCTTACTCTCCTTTTCTTTGTTTATATTACTCATTATATCTTATTACTATTTTTGTACTCTATTTATTTTCTCCTTTTTAATATCATTTTTTTAAAATGGTTACCCTAGACATTTTAAAATCAATTCTTAATTACAAATGATCCGGTTCAGGTAGTTTCTTCACACATGTGCTTCGGTTGGAACTCAACTAAAGGCTCAGTGTTCTTTTGCAGGTTTCTGTAGCCCTCACTTTCTGAAGCTACCTGCTCTCCAGTATCCCTTCTGGTGAGTTCTAGACTTCTTGCCTCCTCCCCCCACCTGAATTTTAACTTCATCTCTTCAACTCAAAGAGACTACAAAATGTGCCTAGCTTCATTCTCCCTCCTCTGTGGTGTGAAAATTTTCTCCAGGCAGTAAACTAGGATAAGCATGGTGCTTACCTTATTTGTTTCCCCATTGGGAGGGGAGCACTACACACTGGGGTCAGTTGGGGGGAAATAGGGGAGGGACGGTGGGGGGTGGGAAGCTGGGGAGAGAAAGCAAGGGGAGAAATGCCAGATGTAGGTGATGGGGAGGAAGGCAGCAAATCACACTGCCACGTGTGTTCCTATGCAACAATTTTGCATGTTCTTCACATGTACCCCAAAACCTAAAACGCAATAAAATAAATAAATGGGGAAAAAAAAACTTTTTTAAGTATTTGCTTATATATATACACGCACATACATTGGCCATCTTTTTACTTTTAATCTACCTGTCCGTATGTTCTAAGTGAATATATTTTGTGAACCACACAGGTCTGTTTTTATCCAATCTAAAAATCTCTGCCTTGTAATTGGAGTGTCCAGACTATTTATAATTCATGTAATCATTGATCTTATTAGATTTACATCTAGTACCCTGCTATTTGTTTTCTATTTGTCTCATCTTTTCTTTGTTCATTTTTTATCTTTGTTTGCTTCTTTAGATTGGGTCTATTTTATCAATTAATTTTATCATCACAAATGGCTCATTCATTTTATCTCTTTTATTTTTTGGTTGGCCAATGGGTTAAAATATAATAATTTCATATTATTATAATTTATTTTCAAGTACTATTATATGACTTCACATACAGCATAAAATCTCATAACAGTATGTTTTCATTTTTCTCCTCTGCCCTTCATAGTACTACTGTCATACTTTTTACTTCTATATATATTATAAAATATAAAGTAAATTGTTTTTTAAGCTATCAATAATTTTTACATAGATCAAATAATGAGAAAAAAAAAAAACCTTGCATGTTTATGTATATTTTACCATTGCTAATTGTGTGTATGTGTGTGTGTGTGTGTGTGTTCAGTTCACAATTTCACCCTGGCAACATTTTCCTATTCCCTAAGTCTTTGGTGTCTTAACTCCCAGTACACATCAGAATGTTACTGATAGTTTCAGGAAACAGACAGATTCCTAGGCACACAGGGTCAGGTCCCTAGTGAAACCCAACCTTCAAGCCAGAAGACAGCCTGAAGCCTGCAACCGGGCTGCCCGTTCCAGGTAGAATCCACGACCTGGAGTGAGAACTTCCTCACTGCCTTTTAGCCAACAAAATGGTGCTTTTTCCAGGCCCATCAGTGGATCAATCAGTGTGCACTCCCGCATTCTGAGCCCATAAAAACCCAAGACTCAGCCACACATTGGGACTACCCACCTTCAGGCAGGGGCTACACTCTTTGGTTCCCCTCTCTGCTGAAAGCTGTTCTGTCACTCAATAAAACTCTTCTCTGCTTTGCTTACTCTCTGGTTGTCCATGTAACCTCATTCTTCCTGGGACAAGAACCCAGAAGCTACTGAACAGAAGGTGGAAAAGGAGCTGTAACACTATACCCATCCTGCTCTCTGCCAGCTCTGGTGGCCACCACACATGAGAGGAAGGGGCAGCAGGGTTGGGCCAGCCCAGGATCCCTAGGCCAGAGCGAGGCAGTGGGGGCCAAACCAGATGTAATAACAAACTGAAACACACACCCCACAACCCAATTCGCCATGCCGAAGACAGAAGAAATGAACAAACTGTGAAATGCTGGAGTTCCATGGTTGCTGGCATCTCCAAGTTATTGGGCACTGTCATGTTCCCCTCATCCAGATGCCAGCCAGCACCTAAGGAAAAACCCATTTGCAACACTCTTGGTCCAGCTGCAGCCTCACACAGAGCATGAACCTGTGCCAGCGCCTGGAGCTGCCCACCTCACGTCAGCAGCTGGCGCTCCTGGCTGTGTGCCGTGGCCAGACCCTGCACTCACTCACTCACATGCTCCTCACTGCTCTGCACCTGCCTCACTCTCAGTGGGCATGGGATCTGGGATGGTAGTGTGAGCTGAGCTCAGCCTGTCAGACAGTGGGTGGAGTAAGCCCAGGGGGTACATGTGAAACATGAGAAGTGCTGTCAGCCACAGAGGTTTCTGGCTGGCAAAGTGGCACCCAAAGGATCCTGTGTCATTACTATATTTGAAGATAGGACCTTCAAAGAGATAATTACGTTTAGATCAAGTCAATGAGCGTGGCCCTAATCTAATATGATTGGTGTTCTAGTAGAAACAGATAGAAATACCAGAAATGTATGACACAGAGAAAAGGCTGTGTGATGTCACAGCAAGAAGGTGGCCATTTTGGCAGCCAAGATAGAAATATTAGGAGAAACTAAACCTGCTGACCATTTGGTCTCATACTTCTAGCCTCCAGAACTGTGAGAAAATAATCTCTATTGTTTAAGCCACCCACTCTATGATATTTTTTTATGGCAGTCTTAGCAAAATAATGCACTAGAAATTTTCTCTAATAGTATTTGGAGTGCATATCTGCTGGAGATTAATCTCACTATCTTTGTATGTATGAAAAATTTCTCCTTCATTGTTGAAAGATATTTTTGCTGGTAAGGAATTGTGGGTGGACTTTTTTTCTTAAGTAATTTAAGATTGTTGTTTCATTATCTTATGGCTTGCATTGGTTTATTATCTCTGCTTCTCTGTATAAAATGTTTCTTTTTCTCTGGCTGTTTTTAAAATTTTATTTTATTTTGTTTTGTTTTAATTTTTTATTGCACTTTAGGTTCTGGGATACATGTGCAGATCATGCAGGATTGTTGCATAGGCGCATACATAACCAGGTGGTTTGCTGCCTCCATTCCCCCTTCATCTATATCCAGCATTTCTCCCCATGTCATCCCTCCCCACCCTCCCTACTCCCCACTGTCCCTCCCCTAGCACCCCCCAACTGACCTATGTGTGATGCTCTACTCCCTGAGTCCACATGTTGTCATTGTTCAACACCAGCCTGTGAGTGAGAACATGCAGTGTTCGGTTTTCTGTTCTTGTGTCAGTTTGCTGAGAATGATGGTTTACAGATTCATCCAAGTCCCTACAGAAGACATGAACTCATTGTTTTTTATGTCTGCATAGTATTCCATGGTGTATGCATGCCACATTTTCTTTGTCCCGTCTATCATTGATGGGTGATTGGGTTGGTTCCAGGTCTTTGCTATTATACATAGTGCCACAATGAACATACATGTGCATGTGTCTTTATAATAGAACAATTTATAATCCTTTAGGTATATACCGAGTTATGGGATTGCTGGATCAAATGGAATTTCTATTTCTAATTCCTTGAGGAATCACCACACTGTCTTCCATAATGCTTGAACCAATTTGTACTCCCACCAACAGTGTAACAGGATTCCTATTTCTCCACATCCTCTCCAGCATCTGTTGTCTCTAGATTTTTTAATGATCGCCATTCTAACTGGCATCAGATGATACCTCCATGTGGTTTTGATTTGCATTTTTTGAATGACCAGTGATAATGAGCATTTTTTCATATGTTCGTTGGCCTCATGTATGTCTTCTTTTGAAAAGTGTCTGTTCATAATCCTTTGCCCACTTTTGAATGGGTTTCTTTGTTTTTTTTCTTATAAATCTGTTTTCCTTGTAGATTCTGGATATTAGCCCTTTGTCAGATGGGTAGATTGCAAACATTTTTTACAATTCTGTTGGTTGCCAATTTGCTCTGATGATTGTTTCTTTTGCTGTACAGAAGTTCTAAAGTTTAATTGGATTACATTTGTCTATCTTTGCTTTTGTTGCCATTGTTTTTGGTGTTTTAGTCATGAAGCCCTTGCCTATGCCTATGCCTATGTCCTGGATGGTTTTGCCTAGGTTTTCTTCTAGAGTTTTTATGGTGTTAGATCTTATGTTAAATCTTTAATCCAACTGGAGTTAATTTTAGTGTAAGGTGACAGGAAGAGGTCCAGTTTTTCCTTTCTGCACATTGCTAGCCAGTTTTCCCAACACCATTTATTAAACAGGGGATCCTTTTCCCATTGCTTGCTATGGTCAGGTTTGTCAAAGAGCCAATGGTTGTATATGTGTGGTGTTGCTTCCAAGGCCTATGTTCTGTTCCATTGGTCTATGTCTCTGTTTTGGTACCAATACTATGTTGTTTTGATTACTATAGCCTCATAGTATAATAAGAAGTTGGACAGCGTGATACCTCCAGCCTTGTTCTTTTTGCTTAGGAATGTCTTGGCTATGTGGGCTCTCTTTTGGTTCCATATGAAGTTTAAAGTGGTTTTTTCAGTTCTGTGAAGAATCTTATTGGTAGTTTGATGGGGATAGCACTGAATCTATAAATTACTTTGGGCAATATGGCCACTTTCACGGTATTGATTCTTCCTAACCATGAACATGGAATTTTTTTCCATCTGTTTGTGTCCTCTCTTGTTTTGTTTATAGTTCTCCTTGAAGAGGTCCTTTATATCCTTTGTTAGATGTATTCCTAGGTATTTTAGTCTCTTTGTAGCAATTGTGAATGGGAGTTCACTCTTGATTTGGCTCTCTGTTTTTCTGTTATTGGTGTAAAGGAATGCTTGTGATTTCTGCACGTTTATTTTGTATCCTGAAACTTTGCTGAAGTTGCTTATCAGTTTATGGAGATTTTGAGCTGAGAAGATGGGGTCTTCTAAATATACAATCATGTCATCTGCAAGTAGAGACAATTTGATTTCCTCTTTTCCTAATTGAATACTCTTTATTTCTTTTTCTTTGCCTGATTGCTCCGGCTAGAACTTCCAATACTATGTTGAATAGAAGTGGTGAGAGAGGGCATCCTTGTCTAGTGCCTGATTTCAAAGGGAATGCTTCCAGCTTTTGCCCATTCAGTATGATATTGGCTGCAAGTTTGTCATAAATAGCTTTTATTTTTTTGTACCTGCACATGTACCATTGAACTTAAAAGTTCAACCAGCCCAA